AGCAAAAAGAATAAAGTGGGTGAGCATTTGCTATTTTCACATGAAGATACAGCCATTTCAATTCTATTCGTAGGAATGAATGAATTCTTTTTCCAGTACAGGGTCAGCTGTAGCGGCCTATCAATGCACCAATGTTTTCATCCTAGTAGTTCCCAGTCTAGCAAAGTCAGCTTTGCTGTGTAAAATTTGTAAAAGCTTTGGCTGCGACTTTTCACAACATCAGTGTTTGATCTTGTTTATGGTAAGCCAGCTTTAATTGCCAACCAGCTCTGCGATAGACCTTCTTCGTTCTAGCATTTTGCAAAACAAGAATTATACTCTGTTGTTGTTTGAGCACTCTCTTAAATTAAGGCGTGAGATTTCACCTCCTTGTTCTGGTGCTTTTATTCCCACTCTTTTCAATTTTTACATTCAGTGCTGAACCAATAGCTGAAGTAATTAGAACAGTTGAAAACTTGCATAATGATGAATATTTCGCCCGCAAAAAGAGTTGCCTTAGTTAAATGACAATGACTTCCTAAAGAACCCAAACACAAGAGCAATCACATTTCAATCCAAAAGCAGCGATGAAAATAACCCAGTACCATGAATTGTTTGTCTTTGAATGGAAACCCACAAACATGCACCTCTTCTAGTCCGCAAGGACTGTCAACTGACTGTGAAGACGAAACACCGATGACCTTAGCACAACTATCTCGAAATGTTACAATAAGAACCTTTCCCCACAATCACTTACACTAGGAAATCAATTTTATCCTTTCGATGACCTTGCTGAAGGAACATTACAACGAAGATGTTGTTAACCTTCGAACGCTTAATCAAACGGACAATGCCACCAATAAAGGATGATACGATTTGTGTCGTTTTTTAAAACTCTCGTGAAAACGAGAGATGTGGCTTTGTGGGTTTGTTCAGTCACTTTAAAATTTTATCTGTCTTTCGCTTGTAACCTACCAGACTGAAATACATCTGCCAGTGTTGAATAGGAAATAAATATTGAACTTTATAATTAAAAGTGTTAATTTGCAGGATACTTATATGACCTAGTTTTCTATGTTATTCGAGTCCCTTCATATCCTCCACTCATTTTGTTGCCTTTTAACCGCCATCCATGGGGCTGGTCGAATTTGCACGTGGCTGAACAGCAGCATGAAGGTCATCTTTTCTCGTCTTTTCTCCTTAATGATATGCTGGATGCTTATCTATTGTCTTTTCCCTAGAATCTCATATGACCGTGCTAAGGCTTTTATACTGAAGAAATTTTTGGTCACTGGAGGAATCTGTCGGTTTTTAGGGAGTGAAGGGAAGTATCTGGTTTGCCATACGAATGCTTGCAGGACGAGAGCGATTCCTGTAAAGTAAATGTGCCCTGAGATTAGTCGATAGATCTCGTGATGACGGCGTAAGAAGTGGAATAGATTCTGTTGCTTCTCAAGGTGATGAAATCTGCTTTTTTGGACCCCACAAACCGTTTCTTTTTTGCTGTTAGTTGAGGCTCGTATTTAAAACAGCGAACCGTTTGAACAAGAGAAATTTTATCCAAGAAAACATGTTGTTGTCCAAGAGTACGCATCAATGTGGGTCAATCCTGACCCCTCTATTTTAGGGCTGAAGATGAAGAGCGTCGTTAGTGGCGAATAACAAGAATCGCCTTAATACGACAGTTGAAGCTGACTTTCTTGACAACCATTTTCTGAGGAAATGCTCAAATAGTAAGCCGCTGCTGAAACTTTTTAGAAAACGACTGTCATTTAACCTCGGTATTAATAGTAGTTGTTTTTTAACGTTATTAACCTACCACGGAGTTGGTGAAAACTTTATTTAGCCAGCGTTTCGGCGTTTTCACATTTTTAGAGCCGTGATGATCTGTGTTGGTGTTCCAGAGTCCTTAGATCTCGCTGTGTTGGCCTTCGTAGTCGCATGATCGAGTCTTCCGACTGACTGGTTATTTCATATGTTGACAAGATTAATTTCCATAAAGACTTTAAAGGCAGAAATTCCATAAAACCGTTTTACCCTTGGTTGAGTTTCCTTGTGAAAATGTCCAGCGCCTTCTCAGCACGGGTGATAAAGGTTGACCATAATGACTTAACGGTGTATTTGACTTCGATGTCCAGGACGATCGATCATCATCGATGAAGCGGCAAATCAGTGGGAGATTGCTGAGATGATAGTGTAATAAATTTTTAAAATTTTACTTCAGGCCAAATTCTTCTTTGTTTGGTATCGTATAGCATTCCCTAATTGGTTCATGCGGAAATCTTGGGACATTAAGCATGCACTTTCGTATTATTGAAATGGCTTTTTTTAGTGCTTTATGTAGCTGTTTTCAGTACTTTTTCGATTTGATTGCACAGTTAATGTGATTGCGTCTCAACTCGGACTATACAAATTTGGCGGAACGAACCATAGTCGTCGTAATGTATAAGTATGTAGACTAAACTATAAGTTTTCTAAGGATAATGATGTAATATCGTTGACAACATTACAGGACTTATCTATGCCCGTATCGCAGTTTCCGGATCAAGGCCAATCCTGTTTGCATCGTTATGGGGTGATATGAGATGATGATCGTCGTATGATTTGATTTGCCTGATCACACATTTTTCTATAAAACGACTACTAGGACCAGTTCTCAGGTGTTTGCACTTCTTTTCGTAGTTATGCATTCATAAACTTGACAGTTTCACTAATTCGTTAATTTTCTTGTTACAATGGCATTATGTGTCGGAAGTATAATATTTGAAAACCCTATTATTGCCATAATCATAAAAACCCACAGTTAACCACTGAACGGGTCCTATTTTTTTCTCAATTTGACTGGCGACTTTAAAAATCTGTCACCTTTTCGCAGAAATCCGGTTACCAGTTGAACATAACTTTGCCTAGAATTCTAGGGTGATCGCTCTAGAGATTCCCATGTCGTCACCACGGCTCCTGTGGATCTGTGGAAGCTTCAGTTCTTTGCGTTTGCAATTCATGCAAGAGAATGGCGATTCCTGTGTTGGCAGCGAATTCTTCGAAACGTCGATCTCCTGTTCGACGACAACGTAATAAGTAATAAATCAAAGCAGCCTTTCGAAATTTTAAGGAAATATCAACTCTAAGAAAAGGCGAATTTGTTTCATTGCTTAAATTTCCCGCATTCACGAATTGCACAGTATCCAGCTCTGTCTTGAAATGAACAAGAGCTAGTTTTGGGAGAACAGCAATACTTAATAATCACTCTGTTGTAACATTCGCAATAACTTTATATTTATATTATGTCGAATATTTTCCACATTTTCATTTTTATATTTTTCAGTAGTTTTTAATCTTATTGCTCTTATATATATATATAAAGGGTGCGTGTGGCGCAGTGGTTGGAGGCGCCACTGCGGCACACATGTGGAATCGATCCTCACGCCCATCCCATGGCCCACCAAGCCTCCCATCTCTCCGGGGTCGGTAAATTGGTACCAAATTAGTTTAGGAGGATAGTAGCATTGGCTCGATACATTGGTAGGCCACTGAGAGTCACTGTAAAGGCCAGTTATCCAACCAACCACCTCCAACGATATTTAGTGAAGTCGAATGAATAGCGCATCTCTCAGGGATTGATCAACGCCGAGAGCTTTATCCTTTTTTCAACCTATATCTTTGTCTATATCTATATATTGTTCTTATATCTACATATTCTTTTGATTTTTTATAGCCACAAGTCATAAATATCTTGCGGCATACAATCATTGTTTTGATTCAAAAAACAAAGAATACTTTGTTCTAATTCCGATAATTCTACTCACTGGCTGCACTTAAAAAAGAGATTGGCGCTCTCGTGGAAGTCAACTAACTATCCTATTACTGCAGCGTCATTACATTAACCTCCTATTTGCTTACAATCTTACCATTTCAGTGGTGACGAAATGTCATTTCGCTTGCCAGCTAACCGTAGTCTTTATATTGGGATAGGAATGGAAGAGAAGAGCGAGTTGGGTAGAAGTCGTTCTCATTGGTGGCGATGGAACTTATGTCATTGGTAGACAAGTGATTTTATCCCCACATTTGAAGAGAAATACTTGGCCTAAAAGAAATCTTCAACTTGATTCTAATTTCTGTCGTAGTCGGCTCTTGTTATAGAAAGAAGCGAAAATATTATCTTTCCTAAGAACTTCACCCAATTTTTCACTTCTTGCCAGTTTATACTGCTTATATTTCCATTGAAGCCCATCGTAATTTTTCGAAGAAATTATTCGTTCTGTGGACGAATATTCGTCGAAAATGTGATGTTCTTGATAGTAATCAAAAAAAGGCAACAGCGGAATTTTTCTTCTTTTTATGAAGAGATTCAGCTTGGCAGAAATCGAGAAGTAATAAAGAACACATGTTAACATGAAGGTGGTAATTTTGACTCATGATTATTGTCTTCATTGACAGATTTTGTTATAGTCTGTCTTCGAAGGGTAAGAGATAATGTTGCATGACGTTTATAGATTTTGTTAATCAGAGCCTATCCGAGCAAGGATGCAAAACTGTCGTGAAGAAAGTTCTATCAAGATTTTCTAAACCAGTTTTCTACATCAAACAGTCATTACTGTCTTTCTTCTAAGACTCATGATCGTTTAAACTTTAGAAAATAACACGAAACACGCAATCATTCTGTGGTATACCGGTTTTCGTTCACTCTCATTAAAACTAAATGCATATGCGTACATGTGTACACGTCAGTACGAAAATCTTTTCCAATAATTTATTACTCATTCTTGTCAGAGGTCTTAGCTGTGTGTATAAGTTGTATCTGTTCGTGTCATACTTACCTTAAATCTAACCGATTGCCACGCTACAAAGTGTTTGTTTCGATCTTTTCTTTTCGTTTTGTTCACCTGTTACTCCTTTTCTTTTCACAAATGGTTGGATCTTTTTTATTCCAGCTTAGTGTAAAAGATCTGATTCCTAGAAATCGTTTGTCATATGCATCTGAGGGAAGACAAGTGAAAATACGGCGATGTTGCAGGTTCGCTATGACGGTCTCCAATGGTATAACATTGGAAGAGCAGCGAAAAATTACCGAGTTAAGGGAACTTGTGAAGGATGACCTTTCGGAGTATTATGATACAGACTTCAATCTACTTCGATGGCTTCAAGGTCATTCTCAGCTTGACATGGTGGCCATTGCAAGAAAGTTACGACATCACCTAAAAGCAAGGTAGAAAAATCGTGTTAGCCAAAAGAACTGGTTTCGATTAGTGATAAGAGCGTCGCTTAATGGTGTTTACTGTTATCCAACTGAAAAACAGACCCTAGAGAAAACGCATAGTGTTGAGCGATTCCAGAAATTCTACTTGGGACTTCGATAACATGCATAAGAAAGATAGAACACATCCTATACACAATCACTGGCGTCATGGTATCACTGGTCTATCGGGTGCTCTTGAAAATGTGATCGTTAACATTGAGCAGGTAACAGCAATAATTAAAAGTAGGTAACGATGCTATTACATGAATAAAAAGAACACAATTGAAGTGTGGGCGAACTGACTACAAAGGTATGATGGAATGCTATTCGGTTTCGGAAGTAATGCGAGCTCGAGTTTTTGATCTTGAAGTAATGCTTGCACAATGCATGGAACTTGAAAAAAGGACAGGTGAGCAGAATTAAGAAAATTTTGCAATAGAAGATCTTTTCAAACAGTCGGAATTTCTTATTAAAACGTTTTCCGGAAAAAAAAGTGGCACAGAACAAGGATTAGAACTCCTGACTTTCCTAAAGCCAACGTGGTAAACGCGTGTGAAAGATGAGGATGGAAACTGCTACTTGGAGGAATTGCTCTCTTCCGATTTATCACTACCGGCTGCAGATGTTTTAGTGCTTTTTAATACAGCATGTAATAGCTAGTGATAATATGCAATCTTTTTTTATCTCTTGCAAGATAAATCATAGGTCTTTTAGTTAAGTAGTACCGAATGTCTGAGCAAAAAACGCTGCTCTTAGTAGAAGTTCCTGATGTTTTTGTCCTAGTTTTGTTTCGTCAACGATTTGTTCTAATGGTCTGTCACTTTTGCCTTTCGTTTTGACTTTAGATGTCCGACAAAAACTCCATTTAGTAGCAAAAATATAAGGAACAAAATGTAGGGCGAAATCTGTGTTTACAAACTGCTTATAGATTATTCATTAATGAAAAGCATATATTGACAAAAGCCAAAACTTTCCACACTGCAAAGTCGGTGCTCTAACAAGGCGGTCTAAAGTATTCGTATGGTAGAATTGAATGTTTTCCACTTAAGCATCAAGGAAAGCATCTGAGTTCAGGAGATGGCTCCTTGTCTCTGCTATGTCAGCATTGTATTGCACAACCTCTATTTCACCGAAGTCGTACAATAAACTGACAACAAAGTACAAGAAAGAAGTTCAAAATTTCGAACAACGATTAAATCTTACATGTGTTACGAAAGACCGCGACGAACTACCCGGCGTTATACCACAATATTACAGAACAACACTGAAAGCTAGTCAAAGCTACCATGTAGTCAAAAATCAAAGCTAACGGCCATCGTATCTAGAGAGTGGAAAATTTTTAGTTAACAGTAAAGGTACGACAACTGATGACAGTACAATAAAAACTGGTGGTCATTCAACAATTCTGCATCTTACCAAATGTGGAAGAATTAGAACTAAAAATGTTTAAGAGGGTAAAAACACTTCTTTTATTGTTAGGCTATGATGGAAGGATGCACCATGCATTCAACTTCTTTAATCAGGGTCGAGGTTGATTGAATGCATTCTCAACCTATGAAAAGACATCCGGCCGTGACTCTATCCAAATCAAGCACTCCGTGAGGTAGGAAGACTTGGTTAATCCGGTGCATGGGATCGAGCTGTTGATCGTGGCTGTATTTAAGATCAGAAGCACTGTGCTACATTTGCCCTCTAAGGTGCTTTATGAAGTCAAATGCATGGCTTACTGTTACGGTTTTAATCGACGCCCAGCGCTTTATCCTAAACCCTTTATTTTGTGCCATCCAGAAATGCGGATATTCTACGAAGCAAAATGATTGAACTTTTTAGTCGATTACAGATGAGGCATTTTAAAAACGTTCTAGGTAAACAGGCCTGGATTTTATACGTTATGGACATCACCGGTCTTGAATACAACAAGAAGTTATACGACCTAATGAGGACCTCCATGAAGGCTCTCGCTGAATTTATGTCCGATCACTATGTTGAGATGATCAAGGTACAGATAGATTTACTAATTTGTTATGCAAATTCTTATAGATTAATTTGACACTTAGGTGAGAAAGATATGACAAAAAATTCTTCACTTACTAACAGACCTGAAATTTATTCAAAATCCTGTAATGCTTTAGCAAGGCATTCAGCTGTTGAAGTTGTTGGCTAATAATATGCTCTTTTGCTTCACTTGATTGTTCTTTAGTCCTTTGGGTCCTATTCGACGAAGTTCAGATAACTTAGAAAGCGAGTTAGAAATTCGACAGATCTTGATCTTCTAATCAATAACTGTTTTAGTTTTTCGTACCTGTTAGTGTGCCGTCATTTGCCTTTGCACTATATGTCATTGTTCGACCATTATTACCGGAAAGGACGAAAAGCAAAGTAAGAATTCGCACAACCGGCTTTCTATTAGCCTCGGCATTGATCGAATAATTCTTTATATTCTTGTTAAGCAAACACGAGATGTTATTTTCGTTATCCAAGATCAGGCTGACGTTCCGGCGGATTTCGCCCTCCTCATAGGCTGGAAAAGTCAAGTTGACCGCAATCTACCCAGCCAAACACTTCCATAACCAAACAGAGAAAATGCTAAACCAAGATTTCAACCAGATTGAACACAGAACTGCTTCTTCGCACACTCACCGCGTTCTATGAGTCTTCCACTTAAAATGTCACGTAGAGGCCAACCGCATGGAGTTTACATGGGATCGTAATGTGCATCTTATATTTAAATAACAGCTTTAAATAGTGTTCAATATCACTCATGATTGCAACTCTTTTAAGTCTAATACTAAAGTAACTTTGCGAAGAAAATTCGAAGACCTTTTGAGTAAATCGCATAACTCGGCCGATTCAAGAACATTTAGAAACAGCGCTGACGAAGACCAAATGGGTCACAGTGCGATGAACAATGTACCACCAGAAAATTGAAGACCAACCGTGTTAGGAGGCACGGCTCTCCCTGACGGGGCGCGCTCGCTATTAAAACTGGGCCCGAGTTTGTCGCCATCCGTACCCATTTCTAAGGCAACCTTGCCTAGGGTAGCATATATCTTCCATAATCTTCAAGATAGATTCCGTAAGAAAGCAAGGGACAAACTGCGAAGTAGCAGCGGACAATAGGAAATGGGGCATTACCATAACCACCATTTTGTCAGCCGTTCTTTAGAGAACAAGACCCTAGCAATAAAGTTGTTATCAAGGTTCGGATATTCACGAGGAAGCTTTTAAAATTCTTGATCGTTAAGGTGTGGTATGCAGGAGGCACGAGAGGTGATAAAGTTGAAAAACATAAGATTATCCGTTATTGATAAGGGTGGAGAGTTTCTAGTAATTCCTCATAGGCTAGATTTTGAGATAACGAAAAAGGATCATCAAAATGCTTCGCCTTATTGCTCATTATCGGAGAAGTTCAAAAGTCAGTACCGAAAACTGAACCATGAATAGGTCAAAGTGGCAACGGCTGCTAGTTTAAAACAGTGAGTTATCTCTCAACTCAAAGTTGACTTACAAACGTGTCTTATTTTATGCTTATCAAAACTCATAATCTAGTATCCGGAGATGGTCTTGTGTCTATCAAATCATCATTATTCAAGGTTAGACCTATCGCTACCTTAGTAGACGGGCCAACGGAGAGGGCAACGTGGTTTCCATCCCAATATTTTTCCAGCTGTTAGAACACATTTTAGCCCATTTTACGAACATCTAGATGTTTCTAGATCGTCTACATAATGCGCATCACAACAGCACGTACATGATGGAGTCTTTCGACGTTACCGCACATTACGAAGTGGTACCGAAAGTCAAGTCATAAAAACATCTTGGTTCATTTCCTCTCTTGTGACCCACGGCACACGAAAAAGGCAGTTGTAAGAAACGTGTTTCGAACAGCCATCAGCGTATGCACAGCAGAGAGCAGAAGAAAGAAACCCGAAAACTGACGCGGCAAAAGCTATTTCCAACGCTAGGAAACTGTAGCTCCTAAGATGTAAAGGAAAGTCCATGCACCCAAATGATAACTTTAGCGATAATGAGGTTCCGCTTATCCTGCCCTTCATTTCAAATGAAATAAGCTCAGCTCTAACACGTTGCTCAAGAAGGACAGGTCTATAGAATTCGCCGAGAATAATTAAAATACCACCGAGCACTCTAAGAAGCCAGGTAGCTCGAAATCGCCTGTACGACCTCCTGTGTACAACGCAAAATTGCATAATTTCCACAACAACAGAGACAGTGATTGCATGAGTTCAGGTATAGTTTATCTGATCTCTTGTAAAGTGCACGGAGATGCAGAGACGAGTGCATTGGTGAAACGAGTAGACCACTCCTCATCCGTATGAAAATACACCTAGTTGGTAAACTTGAAATTAAACCAAGTACTCCACTAGGTACGCATAGGACAAAGAGACATAACGGGAAGATTTTCAAGTGGAAGTTATGACGATCGCACACTAGTTGAAAACACAAGCGCGAAAAATTCTCAAGGAATTCTGGATTATTTCTAAGAATCTGGAAATGATCCACAGAGAGGAATGCTTCATAATCATGCGTGATATTGGACAGTATTTAAGACTGTTATTTTAATACGAGAAGCACATTAGGCTTTCATGTGTACTCTGGGCGATTAGTCTCCTAGTGATATATACAGTGGAAGACTCATAGAAAGCGGTGAGTGTTTAAAGAAGCAATTCTGTGTTCAATGCAGTTGAAATCTTGGTTCACCATCCTCTCTGTTTTGATATGGAAGTGTTTGGCTTAGTAGATCGCAGTCAACTTGATCTTCCAGGCTCTGAGGAAGGCAAAATCTGCCGAAACGTCAGCTTGTTCATGAATGAAGCATGAAATAACACCTCGTGTTTGCTCAATAAGAATATAAAGAAATTAAAAATCACTACTGTTACTCATAAGAGGTATTGTTTCAAATGTTTATAAATGCTGACAAAGAAAAGAGAACTGCTTCCTTCAGGTACGATTCCTGTCTTCGTCACACTGGAGAGATGAAATCTTAGAGTTTTCGCAGAACGATGCCTTACCAGCAATTTGGAATGATGAAACACATATGTTTCCAGCTCATGTCGATATTCCACAACCGTTTCCTAGCGATTGCTATTATTGTAATAAGGTTTCTAAGGTTAGTAACGGTTTAATTTGCTCACTTAGATGGTTGAAGATTGCGCACTTTTATATGTATTTTGTGAAGGCTTCAACACTTTTTTCATTTGTGACATTCATCAGTAACCGTAATTCGTGAAGATAGGCGGGCATGCATATGGGCTCAGATAAAATATAGAAATCTGTTGGCTTCACCTCTCACTGAACCTCAAGTGCTGCTTGAGGGTGACACTTCGCTTGCACCCCGAAATAGCGTATGTGCCACGGCCGGAAAAAACTGCCCTTACTTTATCGGAAGGTTTTGTGTCACTCGACAAAGAACCTTTTACTATGACGGCAATTCTGATGACAGCAAGTTTCCTTTCCCTATAAGTAATCTTCTCAATGCTCGATCGAGTACGATATATTGGACAGAACAGTCGACGTCACATATTATGCGGTTTTCTGGACCTCTTGCATCCTATTCATTTTATCGCATTTATCAGCCGTGGATCACTTCAAGATCGTGCGTGGGTGCTGCCACCGCTCTAAGATTTTTGGTCCTTTTCACAAATGTTGCCGAATGCAGGTCGATTCCATTGTATAAGAATTCCTGGACAGCCGTGCTAGGGCGTTCCCACCCCTCCATCATGGGCAGTCGGCAGCATTTATAATCGGAAGAAGAGAGCTGACCATGAACAAGTTTGGAACCAGCTTCCTTAACCGAAGAGTTGGTTGGCTTAGGCCAAAGGTGAACTTGATCGCTGCGCATATTGAACGGCATCACTGCCACTGAGCTACACGTGTCGCAGATTCTAAATTTTGCACCAAAAAAAATTTTCTGGAGATATTCATCTATTTGATTTGTTTTTACTCAACCTTCGACAATTACACCCTGTGTCGAATTATGTTATATAATCTTAATTATTTACTGCCTGCTCTCTTTTTAATGGTAGGGTATATTGCGAAATATAACTTCAATAAAGCTGAGATATTGGCAAAACTCCGGACCCCAGGTGTCTGAGGTGGGGAACGAACGCGCTATTATTGTATTGAATAGTGAACGCGGAAAGGACAATAGCGCGTTCGTTCTCCACCGCAGACACCTGCGGTCCGGAGTTTTGCCAATATCTCAGCTTTATTGAAGTTATGTTATATAATGTTTTAATACTTTTAGGTTCCTAAAAATCTACAGGTGATCGATGTAGCAGGCGGAAAGTACCATTCACTTTCGATTTCTCTTCAACGAGGTGATTTGGTATCTTGGTGGGTAACCAGTAATCGCAGTTTCGGATTCGGAGTCTTTCAAGCACGGGACGAAAATGAGAATGACTATGAAATGTGAGTCTAGATAAAGAGGATAAAGCGTTCGATGTTAATCCAACCATGAGGGGTTTACCATGCTTACCATTAAGTATCGCAAAGGGGTTAAAAACATACCTGGACTAAACATTGACCTGCGGTGGTCTTCGATGTATCTGGTCAGTTTTTTCACCTACCCAGTTTTTATCCAGATACGACGGATGGCTTGAAGGCTTTGTGAGCTTAGGACACAGCATCGAACCAAAGACCACGTGTTTATTGCTGAACTCCACCAAGCACAGTGCCGAAAGCGCCCCGACATTAACATCTAAATAAAGAACAATAGTCGTTTCCTTTTTTCAAGCTCAAGAATTCTATTTTAGTAGGCAGTAGGTTAAAAGTGAACTCTATTTTAGTACACAGGATAAGGTGGTTCGTGGAGTGAAACTCACTTTTGCAGAAGAGAATCGCGTTACGAAGAAATGTAGTACAGCACCACTGAGGCAGTAATCGCCAAGTTTCAACTGAGCATTCTGAGTCTCATCTCTCTGTTTTTGACGGATGAATTTTTTTGAAATGGACTAAAATTTGTCATGAAAAGGAATTTTCCAGTAATGAGACCGCTTACAGCGTCCATGAATAGGTAAAACGTTATATGGGAAAACGGCGGTGAAAGGCACGAAAATACTGCCTGTTTTCAACTATGACAAATTTGCGAAAATCCCCATCCCCGGATTCCACCACAATAGAAGACACATATAATTGATGCTCTTCTTAGTATGAATATAAGCGTGAGCATCAGCTTGTCTATAGAATCTTACGTCATTGTTGAAAGGCGTTTGTCTCCTGCTTCTACTACTTAGGCTTTCTAAAATCATTCCATGGATGACAGAATGATTTCGCAAGGTACAAAAATAGATTGAGTATTCATGGGTTGTACGAATCATACAGGAATTTTATTTTATTCGTCTTAGCTCGCTATTTTTTGAACACCTTTTCTGCGTAAAGTCCATGAAGTATCATTTTCCTTAATACCATACGAACGTTTTCAGAATGGACCAAGTGGTACCCACTTTTCCATGGATACCTGGACCTACAATTGCTCCATTAGAGGATAGGGCAAAGATTTCTAAGGTTGGAAACAACTAAAAACTCTTACACGTGTGAAAAATCAACAATCTGTCATGTTAAGGATGGACTTTATAAATTCTGGATAAGCAACGAGCGATCATGGTGGTCCAGCGTACGCGTTCAAATTTGCATAGATGTTGTCAGTCAGAACAAAAATGATTCTAATGGATGATGTTGTACATTTTCATGAAATCTATTGTAAAATGAATATAATGCCTTTACCGAGGCAGAACTGTGTAGTAATTATTATATCAACATTATTAACTCCCTCAACCTGTTACTGTTTGTAATGCACAACAAACGACGTGCATCGGTTTCAATGCACACAACCACAATTGCTGAAATTGATAGTATAAAATCCGCTGAAAACTAAAGGTATTTGTTTACAAATTGCAAGTTTTTTAAAGAGTATTAAGGTTGACAAGAAAGCTTACTCGGCTACCATTTCGACGTCTTCGTCTTCATTACAGCCGATGATCCGAGTCGATGGTCAGGTTAACCGAAGGTTAAAGAAAAGTCGGTTTTGAAATATTATTACGCATTGCACTAGCTGATAATGACACCGACTTCTACAGGATGGATTGTATGGAAAAACCAAGTGGTCTACAAACGGTCTGTACTACTTGTGGGCAGTTATTTAGCAGCAGTTGTGGGTAACTCCAATCTGCTATATTGATAATGATTGATCATGAAATGATTGTCGTGCAAGTCGTTCATTGTATTCGACGTAGACCATCACTATGGACGACGGTCATAGAGAAAAGAAACCAGTGGAAAATGTACATTCCATGGCTCGTACTACCCGAGAAGATCGGTTATTCAACTATAGAAATAATACTATCGATAGGATATTTCAAAAACGACTTTCCTTTGACCTCGGTATAACTAATCAGTATGTGCTCCTTCTTTGATAAGCTCACACGAGGTTGACAAATATTCTTTATTTTCGGCTTACATTCCGATTGTTTCGTCTCCTCTTCGACTGTTTCCACTGTCTTTCAACGCTTTGTACTAGCTGATAGTGATACCAACGCCTACAAAAGAGATTAACCGCAAAAAACAAGTGCTTATCACCGGACAATCACCGCTGTTGGTAAGAACCATCCTGTGCAAAAAGAGCATCGCTGGGTGAGTATAGTTCATTCGAGAGAGATATTCCACTGAGGAGGACCCGGTTCGATATGCGACGAAGACACTACCTCGAAAACACGAAGAACTGTGAACTATCGACTCGGAACATCGGTTCTGATGAAGACACGTCGAAACGTTAGCCGAATAAACCTTACTACTAACATCGTGTAAGCTCACCAATTTAAAAACGTGTTGACTATTCTATTACCGATGTTAAATGGCGGTCGGTTTGAAAACTGTTAAGATTAATGTTTAACGTTTTTGTTTTCTGCCTTCTATAATTTTCATGGCAGGTTACTAAGTAAGCGAAATACAACCACAACGTTGCTGAGATATTTGCAAAACTCTGGACCGCAGGTGTCTATGGTGGGGAACGAACGCGCTATTGTCCTTTCCGGGGAGTAACGCGTTCACCACCACACCATGCGGGTCCTTTGTTTCGCACGTCTCTCAGCTATTTCTATCGATCTTTTGCCACAGCAATCACCCGTCAGCGGGGTTGATCTGGGGAGCGCAAATCGGCATAGAACCCAGTTAAGCTATGGCTGTAGTTGAAATCACAATGTTTAACGTTTTTGTTTTCTGCCTTCTATAATTTTCATGGCAGGTTACTAAGTAAGCGAAATACAACCACAACGTTGCTGAGATATTTGCAAAACTCTGGACCGCAGGTGTCTATGGTGGGGAACGAACGCGCTATTGTCCTTTCCGGGGAGTAACGCGTTCACCACCACACCATGCGGGTCCTTTGTTTCGCACGTCTCTCAGCTATTTCTATCGATCTTTTGCCACAGCAATCACCCGTCAGCGGGGTTGATCTGGGGAGCGCAAATCGGCATAGAACCCAGTTAAGCTATGGCTGTAGTTGAAATCACAATGTTTAACGTTTTTGTTTTCTGCCTTCTATAATTTTCATGGCAGGTTACTAAGTAAGCGAAATACAACCACAACGTTGCTGAGATATTTGCAAAACTCTGGACCGCAGGTGTCTATGGTGGGGAACGAACGCGCTATTGTCCTTTCCGGGGAGTAACGCGTTCGCCACCACACCATGCGGGTCCTTTGTTTCTCCCCGGAAAGGACAATAGCGCGTTCGTTCCCCACCATAGACACCTACGGTCCAGAGTTTTGCAAATATCTCAGCAACGTTGTGGTTGTAATTCGCTTACTTAGTAACCTGCCATGAAAATTATAGAAGGCAGAAAACAAAAACGTTAAACATTGTGATTTCAACTACAGCCATAGCTTAACTGGGTTCTATGCCGATTTGCGCTCCCCAGATCAACCCCGCTGACGGGTGATTGCTGTGGCAAAAGATCGATAGAAATAGCTGAGAGACGTGCGAAACAAAGGACCCGCATGGTGTGGTGGTGAACGCGTTACTCCCCGGAAAGGACAATAGCGCGTTCGTTCCCCACCATAGACACCTGCGGTCCAGAGTTTTGCAAATATCTCAGCAACGTTGTGGTTGTTAAGATTAAGTTAAAACTGGAGTTAAAAAGCTGGCTGAACAAAGCAACAGCCTCGGTTGACGTGGTGGATAGCAGAAGAGCCCCCAATAAGGGTGATCGTGGATTCTAAGCCTCTCGAAGGTTCCTAGTTTTGGTCATATCTCAGTATCCTTGTCGTTCTATTACACGCAAAGTTTTTTCATTAACAAAGAAGAGGTGGTAAGGAAAAGTCAAACTTTGCAATATCAAGACTGAATTCCAATTTACTGGAGCCTAGGATATTATTTGAATCAGTTTTCTTTGGCGTACCTCGTATTTCGAACTAAAAGAAAGGTTAAGAAAGTTTATTTTGTTTAGTAAGACACGATGTTATTATCCAAGGTGCAATTTACTTTTCCAGCTGCAGTACTTGTGTCGGAAACTTTAAAGATTTTAATTTTGAAATGAAATTTTCGTAACACTCGATTCTAAACAATTTTACATTGAACGAAAAAACCGCGCACATCCTCAAAGCAAGCAAGAAAAGTTTCTTCTATAAGTCTATCAAGGTCTGATACATCAGCTGCTCTAGTTACCGGTAAATTACTAAATATTGTCAGAATGCCACCATAGAGCGGCACTTGCTACGGTGAATAAAAGTGTGCGAATTTGTAAACGTTCGCTAGGCTTATAAATGAGAACGTGGTTTATGCATTAAAAAAGGATAAAGCTTTTGGCGTTGATCATTCCCTAAGAGATGCACAAAGAATTCGATTTCACTAAGCATCATTGAAGGTGACTGTAAACATATCTGGTCTTTGCAAAGACTCGCGGTGGCCAGCCGATGTATTGAACCAATGCTTCTATTCTCCCAGATAAGTCTGGTACTAATTTTCTGACCCCGGAGAGGTGAAAGGCTTGGTGAGCCATTAAGTCCGGGATCGATTCCACGTGTGTGTTACAGGGCGCCTCCGACCACTGTGCCACACGCACGCCTTAGTTTATGCGCAAATTCCTTTAATATGAATAGCCCTAAAAAACTCAAAAAAAAACATTCCATTTCGATCAGAAGTTATCTTGTAAGATATGGAGTTGGAAGTGAGAAAATCTCATTCGATGGTCTACTGCAACATCGTGACTGTGGGTCCTCGTTAGTTCCAAGCTGCAAATGTACTGCGGTAGACTTATTCTTTCTATAAATTAAAACAATCAAAGAAGGAGTTTGACATTGTGTTCCAAAAGCCGAGGCAGGAGAAAACGTATGCCAAGTTGGTGCCAGTAACTCACCCATGGGTACCAAGAACTGTATAAAGAGAGCCTCATATGAAAAAGTGTAATGTTCTGTACTTGCTTTGAATTACGGCGGCATAGTTAATAGGAGTGCGAAAAGGAAAAAACATTGACTGGGATCACCATCGAGGGCGATTGCCGTAGTACTGTGCTCGTACACTGTTGAAGTGGTCAAAGCCCGAAAGTTACCTAAGCTATGTCCTACTATGTCGAAGTACTTATTACTCATGTTACTCAATGATTAATGGAGCTGCAACAGATATAGGTGATAGAAAATGTGTTAACCACCTTACCTGACTACTCGAGTTGTGAATGATTTCGATTTGATTTCCTATTTGAGGAAGCACTAAAGATAAACCTGTATCAGGAGTAGCTACCATTTTGGAATAACATCAGTCATATTAAGTACTTCAAATCGGCAAGACCCAGTAATTGTCAGTGCACAGAACCTTGTTTGTCTGCAGAGCCGTCATAGGACATCATTTGGAGGAACTTGCACAAGATGCGAGATATCGGAATGAAAGAGAAGGACTGTAATTCCAACAATGTGCATCACCATCAATTAGTTTCCACCACTTTTCTTCTCACTTTTTTAAGCACTTCATATAAAAAACTTGTGATCGATCGTCGTACCCTCATTGTTCAAGTGCATGCACACTGTTGCCGTTTTTAATAACAATGTGGAAGAGAATGACGACAATGAAAGGAAATAAAGTAGGGTCTCGAAACAGTTTAGAAAAAGAATACTGTAAACATGCGTTGCTTGATGAGCTACTACTTTTTAATAAGGTGCGTTAAACTGGTGATTAAAGAATGGAAAGCAAAACATATCATCGATATAACCCGATTCACTTCACTGCTGGTCAAGGTCACATGGCATCGATCATTAGAACCCTTGTTGCGCCAACCATTGCATGCGTGTGGCATGGCTTTCTCGTCAATACGTTTTATTCCTAGTAATCGAAGTTAAACTGTGTCATTCTTTTGTTTCGCTCTCATTAACCAATTCTTTAGTATGCCATTGTCAACCGGAACCTTCGAAGATGTCATTGAACGCCTCATTAATTCACCGTGCAATGAACATCCGCCACTAACGAACTTCATCAACAATGATTTTGTGAGCAGCAAGACTTTAATGCCATCAGTGAATCCAGCTACCGGTTTGGTATGGATCCAGATACCAAGCTCTAGCAAAGAAGATGTCGATCGTGCTGTGGCAGCAGCAAACAAAGCGTTTTCATCGTCTGTTCTTGTACTTTCTTTCTTTCTTTCTTAAAATTCCAGCCTATAGTAGCATAAGTCGGGTAATATTATAGATGGTCGACAACAAGTGTTCAGTACCGATCGAAACTTTTGCTGAAGGTTGCAGTTATCATCGAAAAGAATTCTCAAAAGCTAGCTATTCTTGAATCACGTGACCAGGGAAAGCCGGTACAACTGGCAAAGTTTGTTCTTCAGTTTCTTCCATATAGGAGAATAGAGAAGAAGATTTTTACACAGGGCGATTGATATTCCACGTTGTGTTCATAATTTTCGATTCTTTGCTACCGCCATTTTGCATCATACATCACCGTGAGTCGGATATTTCATTCTTAACTCATCACAAAACCATATCATACTTAATAGCAATCTTTAAACAACAGATCAACATTAATTGACGAACCGATCCATGCTGTTAACTATGTCAAACATGATCCAGTTGGTGTCGCTGGACTAATCTGTCCATGGAATCTTCCCCTATACTTGGTAAGTTTCTCGACTTCTTAATTCTTCAAAGGCTCGCATGAAATTGGCAACTGTAGCGTAATGATCAGAAGTGTCCTTTGGTGTACACAAAGTTCGCGGATAAGCCATCCTATCATCCCTTCGAGGTCGGCAGAATCGCACCACAATTGTCCTAGGAAATGAAAACCACTGTTAGATTGGCCAGCAGGCTCTTATAACTTAGTGTATGGGCCACATTCAATGATCTTTACGATCCTTGGTGGAGCCAAATGGATTGCACATTTCTGTACGGCTGCTCAACGCCAAGTGCTTATTTTTTCATCCACATAGCATAAATTGTCTTCCTGAAATTTCAAAACAAATGTTCTGCGATTTTGTCTTTTTTCTATATGACTTTTTTCCATAAAATTGTGTATGCATGTATAATGGGAAAAAAGTTTGAAAAATGGTGGATAATCGTTTACAAGTGTTAGTATTTGCGTACACCATTATTTGTGGTAATCAATACTGACTTGATCAACTGACTGTGTCGTATTAACAAATCCTAGAGAATTTTGCTGTGCTCAACATTATTTTCAGCTGACTGATATCTGCTGGTGAGGAAAAGGTTTTCTCACTAATGTCTCAAAACCGTCCTAGGCCTTTCCCAGGTCCGCACTACACTTGCCCTCTAACGACAATGTTGTTGGCAGGAAAGAGGCGATTCATCGCACTGGTTTACTCTGAGAAGGATTTCCAATGAAAACATTGAACTTTCTGAGATGCTCAGTTTTGGAGCATCTTTTGAGGTACTAAACTCGCTTTTGCGTTTATGAAGGAACACTAGGCATGGTTAAGTCACTGTGGGATAGTGATTGTTGAAGGCGATCACCTGCCAATTGTAATTGATGGAACCACACATATTACCACTTGAGAGATGCAACATCTCGGAATTTCCGACAAATAGGGTGCATAGTTGAATCGCAGTTTTAAGATGATGTTTAGTAATAAATAACTGCACATAAGTTCAGTTATCGTTCAAACTTGCTCCCGCGTTAGCAACTGGTAATACTGCTGTATGCAAGCCGAGTGAGCTAACCAGTGTTACTGCATGGATTTTGATGCATGCATTTCGAGAAGCAGGTGGACCATCTACTATTCACTTATTTAATGTAAATTTGTTTATAAAACCTAGTATACTAATTGATTCATGCAGGTTTTCCTCCTGGAGTCGTGAATATGGTCATTGGAACCGGTGCTTCGGTCGGACAACATCTCGTTGAGCATCCTGACGTGCCGTTGGTGAGCTTCACTGGAAGTAAGTCTTAATATTCTCTTCAGTAATCACATCGCGTCAATTTTTAAAGCTATTAAATTTTATTATAAGGTACTGCTGTTGGCAAGAAAATTGCTGCAATATGTGGAAGGTTAAATAAGAAGGTATCACTTGAAATGGGTGGGAAGAATGCAGCAATTGTGTATCCCTCATGCGACATAACCCGACATCTTCCAACTATTACAAGGTATTCTTGACAACGTTCTTTTAATCAGTCAAAAACTTCAACATAATATTTAATGTTCAATTTTCTTTTTTTCAATTCTTTCTATCTATCTATTCTATCAGAATCTCGATTTCTTCCGACAAATTCTGCTCCCTTCATTTCATTGCGGTTGTAGCTCATTGATATACTATGTATCCTTGCATGGTGACTTCTGCAATCAGCACACGTTCGTTCCATTCAGGTGTGAGTATGGCTTGTTGAGTTGCCCCAAGCTTATCTGATCACTTTGCAGATGGTTTTCCTAGAGAAGGTGCGCACCTGTTAGGTCCACTACGGCGTACTGCTAATTCATCATTGTCGACTGTCCTCGCTATATGACCTCACCATCGATGATGGTCGTGGAATACGTCTAATGTGAGTCGTGATATCCATGAGATGATCAGTTGCTGAACGTGCCAAGGGAACTGTGTTCCTAAGACCTCGTGTAAATATCTTCTATCTGTGAAGAATAAGGGCTGGCGTTGATAGTTTGTTGGCAAATAATTGTGTGGGATTTCATAATGACTTACGGAGTCAACTATGGCGAAATGATCGATAGCGGGGATCCATATATATGGCACTGTAGTTGGCTTTTTGTGCAATTCTTCAGTCTCATTGGAATCTGGTACAACTGGAAATTTGATCGCGTTTCAGCAATTGTCTCGTCATTTAGCGTCGTAGTTAAAGCACCTCGTGTGAAAAATACTGGAGCTGGTTAGTTTAGAGTTGTTGATAGGTATGGAAAATCTCTGATAATGGTTATTGTAGGCAGTTGCTTTGTCAAATAGTAATGATAAATTGTGATAAAATTTTTGTAATATCTTAAAAACCGATTTTCGTTAACCACCACTGAAAATAACTACAAAATTTTTACTTGAATCTGCTGACACGAAGTTGGCATGAAAGTTTTATTCGGCTAGCGTTTTGGGCCGTTTGCCTTCTTCAGAGACGCATTGAACCGAGTGGATGATTCACAGCGTTGTCGCATCGAGTCGAATCCAATGTTGGGGAAGCACCGCTCGAATGAGAAATTTGCGGCACGCTACGTGCCAGCAAATAAAATACCGACTGCTACGGGACGCACTGCTTGTTAAAATGCAGATCACAATGGACGGCGGAAATTGAATAACATCTGTCCTCAATAGAAGCCACTGCCAAGTGAAATTCCTCATTCGAACGGTGCTCCCACCCTACTTAATACGTCTCGATGGGATCACGAAGACCCTCATCGGAAGAATGAAGAACTATGGACAATCAACTCGGATCAATGCGGCTCTGAGGAACGAGAAAGCGCCGAGACGTAAACGGAGTAAAACTTTTGTAATAACCTCGTTTCAGCTCAATCATTGAAAAGTTATCAATTCTTGCAATATTTGGCTCTGGTCTAGCGTTAGCTTGTCTTTTGCGTATGTCGAACCTGCCGTAAGGCTGGATATTCAAATCAGGAATGCTACTGCAGACTTCATTTAAATATCTTGAAGTAGCAATCCATGATAACAATGTGGCGCCGGATAAATGGTTTTAGTGAAAAGCTTCCTTTTAAATGAGTAAAATCAATTTTCAATACTAATACAGCCAGCAAAGTATTGCTTTTGCTTTTCCTTTTTCAGATCCTGTTTCATCAATCAAGGCGAGATTTGCCTTTGTTCCAGTCGTATATTTGTTCACTCTTCTATATACAAAAATTTTTTGGAGCTCTTTGTGAAGGAGGCACAAAAGGTTTAAGTTTTATAGTGTAAATGGTTGCAAACTAAAATTTGCTATACTGTATAATAGAGAGTTCAGACGTGATTTTTTTCACGAACTTTAAAACAAAAATATTAATGCTGCCCATTATGGCCATAGTCCACCCTATAATTTCAGTATACCGTCGGCGATCCATTAATGGACGTTACACTTGGTGCAATGAACTCAGAGACACATTTTGAAAAGGTATATTTTATAATGGGCGCGTATAGCTTAGTGGTTAGCGGTAACCTGCTATGCACATTGGATCTGTCGTTGGCTCGATCCAATGTTCCTAGTTCTTCATGACCTTCATCCCGTTTCCCAACCCCCGGGCAAGGAGAACTATTATCATACTTTTTGGAGTTAACAGCATCAAGTACTTCACATACCCTGGCGGAAAAAAAGTAATAGGCAGTAGATAAAAAGGTCGAACATTTCGATCTCGACCAGTCTCATGTTAGCTAGGTTCAATGCCGATTTGTGCTCCCCAGATCGTTTCCAGTGGCGGATGATTGATGATGGTATAGTTAGGTTAAAAAAAGGGATAACAAGAATGGTTTAATACAGTGGCAGGCCTCCGCAAGTCATTGTTTAGTCCAGATATGAATTCACTCATCATTGCGGTCCTTTATTAAGTGAAATGCACAAAGCATTCCCTCTAGAATTTTTTAATTCCGATGGTTCTATCCTTTCATCTTCCATGTTTTGTAATCACTAGAAGAAATGACCAAGGTTGTCTTAAGGAATATGAGTGAAACAATAACACTGTGTACATGGATACCAGATCACTGCACTGCAGTGCTCGTGTCCAGTGTTCTGTTTGCACTTCCTTAATTAACCATGTGTATAAGATATCTCATTTTATTAATTTCTATTGCCTCTATTACACGTTTTTAAAGTTTTTTTAATTTAAAGAGCATATGTAAGGTCCACTGATTAAAAAATAGCTATTTTAGGTAAAATCGTACATTTCACTAGCGCAAAAAGAGGGTGGAACGATCCTGTGTGGCGGAGCTGTTACTTTAAATGGCAAACTGAAGAACGTCAGATTAATGAATTAAAAAGATTTACGAGCTATATATGTTAGCATTCAACCATTGTTAAGGGATACTACATAGCTCCTACAATAATAATCGATCTGCCCGATTCAAGCCGATGCACGCAGGAGGAGATTTTCGGACCTGTTGTTTGTGTTACAGTATTCCACTCAATGGAGGTGAATTTTTGATTGCAGTGTATATACATAAATATTTATATTTATATAAAAGATAACGAACTACTGTGTAATTGTGGAGTCCTTAGATATCGAACTACAGTGTAGAAACTGGAGGTATCAAGAATATTTTCATCTGGAATCTTAGCTGAAAGCGTGCCAACAACATCAACAGTGTTTTGGAAGAAAGTTTTTTGTGGTCAGTAGATAAAGGGATAACTTGCTTATCCTTCTGAAAGTCATCATTGTATAGAGTTAAGAGAAAAAGATAATGCCTAGGTAGCTTGGCTTGATTTCCTTTTCTTCCAACCCCATTAAAAATCGTAGAGATGACTGAATGCATATCTAACCTATACAATGACTTGCATGGTTTGTGTATAGGTTTATCAAGTCAGTGTTATTACCCTCCAGACAAGCACAGTAACGATACTTCAATCCAAGTACGTTGGGAAGCGTAGCTTATCGGAATACAAGATTAATACAAGACCACATGTGAACCATCTGGTCGTCATCTAGTTCATCTCTAGTTATTGAATATAGGCGCTGTCATAGATAGTGTTATGTCAATAAACCGACAAAAAAAGCCAAAAAGCATTCATGATCTTTGAAGCAAACAAATCTTGTTGCTTGATAGTTTTGCGAGAGTCATTCCACAATCAGAACGAGTTGGCTTATCAAAATCTGCCATGTTCACTTCACTCACCAGTTCGATCATCGACGATGCACTTTTTCAAACACCTACACAAAGTGTCTCGAACAAAAAATCAGTGACAAGTAAAGAAGCAGCCAAAAAGAACTTCGAGTAGTCTCCCGGGCTCACTGCCTCACTCTTTACGCACAAATTAATTGCAATGATTCTGACTATTTAGGAGGTTGTTTCACGTGTTAACGACTCTCCTTATGGATTATCGGCAACGGTTTGGAGCGAGAACAACGAAGAACTGATAAACACGGCTAATCGTCTTCGTGTCGGAACGGTGTGGTGCAATACATGGATGGTCTGTAAAATTCTCTTCCTACTATTCTTATTACTGATTATTCCTATTGTTCTAGGCAAAATAACCACCGTAAAGAACACCCTTTTAGACTCGTGACCTCAATATGCCTTTTGGAGGAACAAAAGAATCAGGAATGGGACGTGAAGGAGCCAATGACTCAATGCACTTTTTCACAGAAAAAAAAACAGTTTGCATAGCGTTGTGAAAAGATAATTTTTCTCATATATCTGCACTCTTCATGCAACAATATTTCACTGTCAAGGCTTCGGTTTAAGACTTTGAAATATTGAAGATAATTTGTGAACGATGTCAATATTAAAGTATGTTTGACCAATATTTGTTGAAAGAGATTCCTCTAATCGCTCTTCATTTCAACAAGGGAACCATGTGTTCTTGACCTGAAAATCCTAGTACGAATAGTATAGTTCACCACCCTTGACAACGCAGACCAAACCGACAAGCATGATATCTTCACAAACCGGTGAAGCACATTTTACTAGAAACAAAAACTGAACCATTTTGCGATGAGGAGGAGATCATCTAAAGAATGGCGAGAAATCTTCCAACTAACTCTACCCATTGATAGACAAGAGTCGGAGATTATTTTAAGAGTTATTCCGTTAAATGAACTGATATCAACACATAAGAATACTAGTCTTCATCGGCACAAAGCTTCTCTTCACACGTTTAGTGAATATTCCATTAACACTCTGTTGTACAAGCGTGTTCCATTGTATTATTTTCTGTTATATTACCATTTCACATGCTATTAAAACCCATTTTTGCGTACCACTTAATATACTATTGAATTACGTGTTATTAAACTAAATCATTTAATGCAGTATAAATATTATTTTATTTCATGTAGTATGCGTTTATGAGTTTTAAAGGACGCGTGTGGCGTAGTGGTCGGAGGCGCCCTGCAACACACATGTGGAATCGATCCCCACGCCCATGGCCCACCAAACCTTCCATCCTTCCGTGGTCGGAAAATTGGGGCCAAACTTGTCTGGGAGGATAGCAGCACTGGCTCGATACATCGGTAGGCCACCGTGAGTCATTGTAAAGGCCAGATATGCATTCAATCACCTCCAAACGATACTTTAATGAACTCGAATGCATGGCGCATCCTTCAGGGATTGATCAACGCTGAGAGCTTCATCCGTTATCCATTATTATGAGTTTATTGCAAAATGAAGCAACTTTTGGTGTCCATAATTTTCACAAGACATCGGTAGCTTTTAAGTGTGTTGAGGATGTAGTGAGGAGAACAACGAACATCTGATTTTGTGCCTAGCTCTTCGACTCCACCTTAACTTATACATCAGAAACCTGGTCGCTATGTAAGGAGTATTATTGATCACTCAGCCTTATTGAATGCGTATCCTTCTCATATAGACTAGACTATCCGTTTTTTCGTAGAAGCAGTTAAATAATTTGGAACAGTTAGAATAACGTCCCAAATTGTCGGAAAATAAAGATGAAAAATTATTTTATCTTTAGAGATTAATTGGTTTTGGACAGTTTTCTTAAATCTCTAGCTGCTTTTCTTTATCTTCCTTAGCTGAGTTAAATAATAACAAAGTAAAAAATAATAAGATCGAAAGGTTAAATATGGCCATACCAGTGATGCAGAATGTGATCTTCATCACAGCTTTAAAGAGGGTCTGGCCACAAACACACATCTCAAAGATGTAAAAACGTGAGTTCGACGAGAAAATAAGAAAGAACAAAGCTGTCGGCGTTGACAATACCTAAGGGGTGCACCATGCATTCGACTTCATCAAGCACCGTTTGGAGGCGACTGAATGGAAATCTAGCCTTTACAATGACCTGCGGTGGCGTACCGATGTATCGAGCCAGTGGTGCCGACCTCCGAGACAAGACTTGTAGCAATTTGCCGACTCCGGAGGAGTGGAAACCTTGGTGAGCCATGGATGCGAGGATAGATCCCATTTGTAAAAATGTACAAAATGCAACAAACGCAACATAAAGTGTAAATGGGCTCAGACGCAGATGTGGAACTGGGTAATTATAAGAAACTGAAAAGTTTTCCTACGAAGGATGGTGTTGAGAGAGTGTTATTTTTTTTTATTCATAGAGTAATTTAGTTTCGTGTTCGGAGCACTTGTTAGAGGTTCATTGCAACACATGCATTGTCGATGTTTTAATCCCGATCACTGTGCTACATACAATCAATATTACTGCCGTCGTGTAAAGACGTGCTCTTCAACACTCATTAACAGAATCTGACGTGTCACCTTTGTGTACTAAATCCCGATTAACCTGCTATTATTCCATCATTCGCTGTGGTATCCAACTTCTACGTGCGATGCAAGCGGAAACTACAGCGAGAGTAATGCTGTTCAGCGACACGCTTAAAGCCTTAGTTTGAGCTCGCCTTAGGTTAACCTGGCCTTCGATCCTACTGGTGTTTCGGAATTGGTACTAAAGCACTCTGGGAAGCACTCGTTCTGATTCAAAAAAGATGGCGACTGTCTGTTGTGAAGACCCAAAACGCTCAAACACGGTCACGCCTGGTTTATACGTCTGAAAAGTTGAATGAAGTAAAGTGCAAGGTGTTTACCACTACTTACAATCTTATGTCCAAGTAAAGACTTCGACAAAATAGGTCTTTCAAAACAAATAAATGTAGCTTTAAATCTCTCTCCTTAGTTATCAATGGAAGCGAAAGCTTACAACAATGGTGATTAAGTTTGAAATTGAATTAAAGATCGAAGTTTTCCAAAGAACTACCGCCTCATCGTGGCTAGGAGGTGTTCCCGGGTGTCAGGCTGCTATGTACAGTGAGAGGATTCATCTCTCCAGCGGGGCTTCCCAAGCTGAGAAGGAGTGTTGCGTTTCCATCAGGAAGCATTGCTAAAAGTAAACCAACACCGGGGTCCAGCACGGTCTTGGTATCAAACTAGTCGTATGATGGCAAATCTTCCTTCGATACACATTGGCGGCGACTGCCTTTGGTGGTGACGACCTGGAGCATACTTTGGCCAGGCTGACCTCAAGACTCCAGGAAACCACAATGTTTAAACTAACAGAACTCTAAAAAGATGGAAATTATGCTGGGGTCCGCGCAACCAGTGAAGACGGGCCATCTAAATATCCAGGAAAGTAAAGAATAAATGATAAAAGTCTCGACGTTGATCAATCCATAGGCGACGTGTTTTGCATTCGACTTCACTAAGCATCGTTAGATGTTACTGAATACATATTTGGCTTATGCGATGACTGGTGGTGCCCAATCGAAGTAGCGAGCCAGTGTTATTTTCCTACCACGTAGGCCTGGTAAGAATTTGCCTACCGCGGGGAATAGAAGGCTTGGGGAGCTTGGAAAGAGCGGATCAATCGCACACGTATTGTAGGGCGCCTCTTACCACTGCTCTATATGGGTTACGGAAGCTGTAAAATGTGTTTTATCGAAAATATTAAATTACTGAAGCAATAATTTTGAAACCGATCGTCGTTCAACGTCGGTACTGTAATAATCAAAATTTGTCTGTATTGTTGAGCTCACACGATGTTGATATGTTGAATTAGTCTATGTATTCCACACATTTGCAGTTCAATTTGCAACCTTTTTGCAGGATTAAATATACAACAACACTGTATAAGCGGAATTTGTAAAACTTTGGGATTCTTTGTGGGGTTCTGGTCCAGAAAATTTCCTTCACAGCAGCAGATTTCTACTTCACTGAGATCATTGCAACTACACACTAATTACAGTCTTAACCCTTTTATTTACTGCCATTTTCTTTTTAATGGCAGGGTATGTTGCGAAATATAACGCGTACATAATGCTGAGACATTTGCAAAACTCCGGACCGCATGTGTATGTGGTGGGAAACGAACATGCGCTGTTGTCCTTACCGGGGGGCAGCGCTCTTCACCACCACACCATCCGGGTCCTTCGTTTTGCCTGACTCTCAGCTAGTTCTATCGATCTTTTGCCATCAACAAGAAAAAGGCAGTAAATAAAAGGGTTAAGATTGTGATTATCACTAAGCCTCAGCTTAACTGGGTTCAATGCCGATTTAGGCCCCCAGATCAATCCCTTTGACGGGTGATTGCTGATGGCAAAAAATCGATAGAACTAGCTGAGAGACAGGCAAGACAAAGGACCCGGATGGTGCGGTAGTGAAGTGCGTTACTCCCCGGTAAGGACAATAGCGCGTTCGTTCCCCACCGCATACATCTGTGGTCTGGAGTTTTACAAATATCTCAACATTATATGCGAGTTACACACTAATTATTTTCTTTGTTCCATTCTTTGCGATATTCAGTTTTTTACGAATCCTACTTGTTGTCTTTCATTTTATTTGAATAAATAAATTACTAAATTCTGAACATTCTTCACTTAAATATAAAGAAACGGGCCCTTATTGTTGCTAGATGTATTATCTGAGAGCGTTGTTTTTCTCTACACCCACCCCCAGAGACTACAGTTTGGTTGCCATTCGAAATGGCTGTTTGCAGCGCCAGTTTTAGAGATTCTTCCTTCTACTCTCTTCCTATACACGCACTGGCGTCTGCTCGACACATGTTTTTCACACAGTTTACCTTTGTTAATTGACTTCCCATAGTGCTTTCTTATTTAGTTGTTTTTTGATAGATCAGTTCAAGCGTTCAGAAACGAGAACAGCTTTTTTACGGTCTATTTAGAATGAGTATTACATTCTCTGACTGTTCTGACGATAACCCAAAGCATTTGCCCATCTCTCCCTGTGCGGACCAGGCAAGACGAACAACTACCTATCTACACAGTAAAGTAATGGCCTTAGATCGATTACTAGTGATTCCATCTTGGTCAGAATAGGCAATGACTAGGCTTGATTGCCGTACCGTCGCTGTTCCATTGCCAACCCTCTCATGTGTGCGAAATGCTTCGCATTCCACAGGCATCTAAAGATTGAGTGGTTTAGGCACTCTTTTAGGAGCGCATTAGCTGCTAGATTCAGACACTATACATGTTCATTTGTCCTGCGTTTTGCATAAGGGGCTCCATGATGGATTTTATCGCGGAATCCTTTTTTTTTTATAAAGGGAGGAAACGTACTCCATCACAAACGCGCTGTTAGAACGGGTATTACGCAGACGGTCCAGGAACTTGGCTGCTCAATTTTTTCATTCTCTTCTTCTAATTACAAAAGTTTGGCTTATACTCACAGTCGAAACATGGTCGTCACTCGAGCTCGAGAAGATATAGTGGGACCAATCAAGTGAGCGCTGAAGACGACGGCATCATCATAACCTGAATGAGGCGGCGGACAGCTCTGATTATTCCCCAAAGCACGGCGATCAGTCGGTTGAAATGCATCAAAAGGGGTTGACACGAGCTTCATCTAAGACTTGGAGAAATTATCAGCTGCTGATCCATGGCGAGCCCAGTAGTCCAAATAAATTGAGAGTTCTATCGCATTCGTTTGAAAGTGCAGGGCTAATGCATGCATTTGAATAGCCAAATCCTCCATTCCTTGAATACCATCGCGTTGTCATAAAATTCCAACAAACTTCAATCGGCCGTGTGCAACGAATGGCTCCGAATCCGCGTATTGGTGAAGAGGAAAGACCAACGATTGAAACACGGACCATTTCTGTCTATACCGCGATTTTTCCGAACAACGCCGATGTCATATCTTAATGCTGTTGTCCTAGTATGTCTCTGCTGGTTCGTTGCTTGATGATCTAGTAACGATATGCCCCTGTACACTTTCATTCACACTCCATCACTGACGAACCGGCAGCGGATAGAATAATTTCCGTCGTGTAGAGCAACGTCCGCGGTTGCGTCAAAACACTTTTCTGCCGTCTTTATGATCATGCGCAGTAATGCCTTTAGTTGTCTCAGTCAGTGTTTTCGATGGTGTGATCTTCACTTTGTAGTTGTATTTCTGTTTTTGCAATTAGTAAAGAACTGAACAACGTTGTTCTGAGTGATTTTCTAGCATCTTCCGTGAAATGACTGTGAAATATGTTAACGAGCTTGTGGAAGCTCTCGTACGCCGTCGACGCGGTGTGTATTCTAAGTTAAAAAATAGTGGCTTAGTGTTGGTCAGTGGTGGGACATTAGAGTGGAGAATGCTGGAGCATAGGTCAGATGTATTTAGTGTTCGGCGTCTTGGAGAACCGTTATCACTTCTGACACTGCGTGGAACCGCCAGTCTTCACAGCGGAGTCCAGGTAAGGTGTGTACTCTTTCCCTACATTCTATTTGTGTTTACACCATCTAGTGTTTTTTGGTAATTTTTAAGGTTTTCACAGGTTGGAAAGGTGCTTTATGTGGCAACTAAAGGAGGTTTTTACCATACTTCCAGATCATTAGGTCTCCATGGAAATCCACTGCTCGCTCCAGCGATGTCTGCTCTGACCTGTCTTGTTGCTTTTTACGATATCTTTTCATTTCTAGGAGAATCAAATAATCTGTTTCAATTGCTTGAAGGCGACAAATGCTGCCGGATGGTCATAGAAGAAGCATTGGGAGCAACTGAGTACTAAGAAGGTTTTCGCTTAACCATAAGCTTTTTTATCATTAAGGCCTAAACAGCTTTCCACTTGTCGGTATACTCATTACACTTTGTTTTTTTTATTCCTTGTTCTCTATTGTTTTGGTTTTACACGTTGTGGTAGTTTTTCCTATTGTCTAATTTTTTCTATAATAAAGATCTGTTGTTCGAGTTCTCTAATGCATCCCGGTGTTTGTTTTATCTTTTGAAAGAGGCATGCTCTGACTTACATCATCTAATCCTTAGTCATGCTTGTAAACGTGTTACTCTAGCAATCCCCCTATTCCTTTCTATCGCATCTGGAAAGTTGTCTAATGGGTTCGCTCGCGGACCCCGAAGAATACCCAATCTTTTTCAACGTCTTACGCTCTGATGACGTCAACTGTTTGTCTTTTTTCTGAAAGTGTGGCCATTGACACCATTAACGTGATCGAAATTCTGGGTTTAATTAATTTCTATGAATTAGGTTTGCACGAAAGTAAAGGCAGGTTTGGATGGAAAGGCTATAACTGGAAACAAGCATTACTAGTTAAAATATGAATCGTTATGATCCGCGTATTCCAACAAGACTTAAGTTTAGTGGGTTAGCGTAAAATTCTGCAGTTGTGGAAGTGCAACAGGAACCATTTAGAAGCTTCACCTTGGTACAACTACTGAATGCTATTAGCTTGTTGGATCCATTCTTCACCGTGCAATGCAACCTAGAACAGTTGTTATGGCACAAAAGCAGTGTAGAGCAGACTTCATAACAGGGATCTCTTCAGTCGTCGTTAAATTGTTGCGGTACTAATTCATTTACTTTCCTTACCTTCTGAATGTTCTCCAAGTAAAGAGCTACTGTTCAGTCGGACATTGAGTATTTCCTCGTTGACGTTTACCCATAGATGCAACAGTGCCAAACCTGTGCTGGTGCTTAGATCTAGATTTCCGATTTATAAATTTTCCACTTTCTGCGAAAACATCTGGTAAAGTTCGCGTTCTTTTCATGTTGGAAACTCTTGTATCCTGCAAATGGTGGTGTGACTTACACGTTGATTGTGCGTTTGCCATGATGTACCTCTGCGAGCAATCCTGTAGTGGTACCTTGATTCGTAACGGCAGCATAGATTCCGTATTCTTATAAGTCTTAGACCTTCATCGCGTGCTTGTACTTTAGCGTTCTCATTTGTTAGATGTCCAACGTTTTCGCAGAAGGCGAAGAATATTTTCCACTTGGTAATTAATGGTTCTCTAAAAGCTGTGAAAGATTTCCGCGGGCTTTCATTTTCGGTATGTCCAAAGTTCACTCCGATTTGGATTCTTTTTCTGCTTGGTTCCCTAGTTCTAGTTGCCATTTCTTTCGTATTCAAACTTCTCATTGGTTACTTTCTTGTAAAGC